TGTATTAACACCATATAATTCTGTATGTTTTCAAATATACTGTTAAACCATTTATGATAATTCACATAGGCCCTATAGGGAATTATATTTTCTTTTCATTAGGGGACCCCAGACAGTAAAATATTGTGTAACATCATGCTTTTTTTAATCACTAATTAATCCAGGAGATTGCATGAAATAAGTGAGTGATGTTACATTTTTTTTTAAATCATGATTATATTTAACTGTCTGGGGTCCCCTTATGAAAATATAATTCCATATATATGAATTTTTTAATAAAAGCCACTATTAGATTTCACTCATAGCCTACAATCAGACATCATTTCAATGTGTGTATTGTTTTTCGATATATTAACGGCGCTGAATGTGAGCAGTTATCAAGTGTCATGCCACTTAAATGAATGGATCTTTTCACAGCTCCCTGAAAACTATCAACAAAACTTAAATATACAAGCTTGTTTAAAATGATCATTCTTGAAGAATATTTCAAATGGCACTTAGGCTTTTGCATCTAAATGCTTCATATATAAATATATGTGTGTGTATTCTATATATGTATAAAAATATACAGACACGCATATATAAAATATTAAATAATATTATATATTATTTACATCAGGTAACGTTAGTGAAGTGTTGGTCACCTAAGCTATCGCTGCAATTAAACTATTATCTTCCAATAAACATTTAGTAAACCTAGCGACATAACATTTAACTACAGACTAGATTCACGAAAGGTCGGCTAATATGTAAGAGTAAAAAAAAAAAAAAAATACAGTAATTTCTAGGGGTGGGAATCTTTGGTCACCTCACGATCCGATTCCAATTCTGGAAGTCACGGTCAGATTCCAGAACGATTCTTTATATACCACCCCATTAATTCATTAGTTTATATAATTAAGTAGGCCTACTTTTTTTATAATTACACATTTTATACAAAATAATTAGAACAGTTGTATGTTAAGAATTTAAACTAATTTAACTTCAAAACATACAAGCAAGTAGCAAATAATAAAGAGGAGCATAGAAACTATAACAAGCAACAAACAAAAAGTGCTTTCACGAGCCTATAGATTATCTGAACGTTTTCTATTCAAGAACTGTGAGGGAATTTTCTTCATCTTTAGCCTGTTATTTTTTTACTTTGACAACATAGACTGCGGGAGATCTATTAAGCTGCACGCATGCATCTCTTTTGAAATATAAGAAGTAATGGGGTTTGTCCTGTCTGGCTGTGTTTCCGTTAATTTTGCACAAGTACATTAAACCACGGAGACACACAGCTACATGCGCGAGCAATCTACACAAACAAAGCGTGCGTGAGGATTTGAAATTGAAAGCAGTCTTCCGTTAGTGAGGTTGATATTTTAAATATATAAGTCCACTGCATTCCAAACCACATAAATGATGACTCCGTAGAGCATTCGTAAGGAAAATACCGACGGGCGAGACAGCACACTTCAAGTGTAACATCAAACAAAGTGCGCGTCTCTCAAAGCGCGTGCAATGAAGTCTGTGAATGTCCTCGTAATTCGCTTCAATCTTTCCAAACTTTATGAAAGATTATTTTACGTAAGGTTCGAGTGGTGTATGTAGGCCTACAGTAGCCTATGTGAGGAATTGGAAGCAAGCAGAATACGGGGTGTTTCTAAAGCAAACTTAGCATCATCGCACATCTGGTTAAAAACTAGGCTCAGAATCGATTCTGAAATTCTCAGAATCGATCCAGAATCGGAACTATTGGCGGCTCCACGACACGCGTTACTTCCTCATTCCTAAGTTCCTGTGTCGGTCTATGGGAGTGTTGTAACTCTCTTTCTCCATGGCTCTGGTGTAGCCCACTGTACTGTACTGCTACTAGAAGAACTGTTGGTGAAATCAGCCACATTAATACCAGCTTTAACAAACTATATGATTTGCAATTGCACTCTATAGTTTGTCATTTCCGAACCCCTGTATTCATAACTAAAAACTAAAATGCTTTTTATTTCTTTTTTTTCTCCTTTTTTTAGAGAAATAATGGAGTATTCAGAGAGAACTAAAAGGAGGAAAATATCAGCAAAAGTGGAGGAACATTTACGTCTCCTTGAAAATGAGTCTATGATTGATGATTTGGTGGCACATGAATCTGAATGCCCACTGGATGATTTGTTAGAGCATACTGAAAGTGAAGATTCTACAGACACTTTCTACGATGCTTGTGATCAGAACTGTTTTGAGTCAAGCGATTTAGAGGAAGATTTTTTCTCAGATTCTTTTTATGATTTTAACCTTTCCTCATTCGATGATTTGGATTCTGAAAACTGGATGCCAGGTGATATGCCTGGTTGTGATAGTGACAGTGATTTGCATGGAGATGAATGTTCTGACATAGAAGAAGACAATAATAATGATTCGCTTGGGCTTGCAGAGTGGGCTGCAGAATTTAACATTCCACAAACAGCGCTGTCTGCACTTCTTAAAATCCTACGGAGGAAGGGCCTTGATATCCCAATGGATGGCAGAACTCTTATGTCAACTGACAGATCTTGCAGTGTTGCAAATATGTCTGGGGGGTCCTACTACCACTTTGGAGTCGAAAATTCTCTCAAAGCTGAACTAACATCTTTAGGACATTTAGCAAATGTGACTGATACTCTCACACTCCGAATTAATATCGATGGATTGCCCTTATTCCGTAGCTCCAGTATGAGTCTGTGGCCGATTCTGGGTATGATTAAGGAAATTCCCGAGTGTAGTGTCTTCGTAATTGGAGTGTATTCGGGTGCATCTAAACCCGCAAATGTGCAAGAGTATTTACAAGAATTCATTGTAGATATGAAAGCTGTTTCTCAGAGTGGAATTGTGTACAATGGTGTACATTTCAGGGTACCATTACCCGATGCTTTTATTTGTGATGCACCTGCTCGTGCTTTTCTTAAATGTTCCAAAGGCCATACAGGCTATTATGGGTGTGAGAGGTGCACTCAAAAAGGCCAGTACATTAATGGGAAGGTGGCCTATCCTGTAACATCAGCAGAGCTTAGGACAGATGAGCAATTTGGGAGGCAAGGCTATCAGCACCACCAACTGTCAACCTCCCCACTAAATGAGTTGGGTATAGGTCTAGTGACCAGTTTTGTGTTAGATTATATGCACCTTGTGTGTTTGGGGGCAATGCGCAAGTTAATATTTCTTTGGCTAAAGGGGCCACTAAAATGCAGGCAATCTATGAAGTTTTTTGTTGTAATGTCAGCATTTATGGTTTCTATCAGGCAATATTTACCTAGCAATTTTGCAAGGAAACCACGATCCTTGTTCGAATTCAGCACATGGAAAGCTACAGAGCTGCGTCAATTTTTACTTTACACTGGTCCTGTTGTTCTCCTCAATAATATACCCACTATAATGTACAGAAACTTTTTACTTCTATCGGTATCTATGAGAATTCTCCTGAGTCCTGCCTTATGTTCTTCTTCTGACAATTGTGACTATGCTGAGGAGATTTTGAAACTCTTTGTAACAGACTTTGCTGCAATTTATGGCAATGAATTTGTCAGCTATAACATACATTCCTTGATCCACCTAGCTCAAGATGCACGTAAATTCGGCCCGTTGGATAGTGTTTCAGCTTTTCCCTTTGAGACATTTTTAGGTAAACTGAAAAAACTTGTCCGTCGGCCTCAAAACCCTGTCCAACAACTCGTCAGGCGAATCCATGAGAAGCAGAAAGTGGCAAGCCAAAAGACCACATCAGTTTTCAGCCCACTCAAACAGCTCCACTTTTCTGGACCAATGATTAATTCAGTTGCAACATGGGAACAATACAGGCGTTACAATGATGGACAGACACTGATCTCCTCCTCTCGTGGCGATGACTGTTTTTCTGTAGGGAGAAGGATTCTTATTGTGCGGAACATTTTGTCACATTCTGGAACTGTTAAAGTCCTGTGTAATTTCTTTGAAACTGCCAAATCCTTTTTCACCTATCCAATGGACTCATCGCGTCTTGGAATTCTTTTTGTTTGTAATTTATCTGAAGACTTGCAGCTGTTACCTGTGGAGGAGTTAAAAACAAAAATGGTGTTATTACCACACAAGACTGGATACGTGGCACTTCCACTCCTGCACTAAAGTGCTAATTATTTGTTTCATTTGTTTAAATTTTTTTGTATGTATTTGTTTTTCTTTAAGCATGTTACCTTTCGGGATAGTTGAATTTATAAATGGTGGGGGATTGGCAGTTATACCAACCAAATGGTTTGTCGGGCCTGAGGAGGATGAATGCTACTGGCCACCAACAAGGATGAACATGGCAAAGGCGGTCATGGAGCAACAGGACCCTCACACTGACTGGGCGACATACAAGTTGACTGTCAAGAGAAAAGTTGGTAATGTGTCTATTTGTATGAGATTATTTGACATGTTGAGTTCACTGTTGGTTCGGTTGAAATTAGCTCTGAATTAAACTAATTGCCACTCATTTGTCTGTCTCCAAAGCTACGTATGAAATTGCCCGCAGAAAATTAGTGGAGTATGAGCAAAACACTGATGTACCAACCGAGTCTGATTCTACAGTGAAGACTGGAAGGGGGAAGCGCAAAAAGAGGTGAGGCTATTGATTTTGAACTACTGCTTCTAAATGGATGATGAACATTTTATTTTCCCAATGACACAGGAAGGTAAAGTTTTGTTAAGTGTACTTGGCTCAAAGCTGTCTAAACATGGTAGGTGGACAGCAGATACACAATTAACCAAAAAAAAAAATGCTTTAGCTCATTGATTGGGCTTGTATATTATACATTTCTAGGCGAGTGATTTTGTCTAGTGAGGATGAGGATGATGACAATTGGTCCGGCAGCCAAATCAGGCCTACACCTCCATCCACCCTCAGGTAATCACCTCCACACTGTTAAATGTTTTACCATTTTAGTGATGAGTTTCCTCAGGTTGGATGGTTAGATTCTTGGCTTTGTTGTGTAAGTTTGTGGTCTTTGAACAGTGTTTAACAAAACACATATTTTTTTGCTTAGAAAGAAAGAAACCAAGATGATCATGAACAACTAGAATAAATCACTAATCTTATTCCTGGACAGAAGTGATTAGAAGATCTGGACCTGTTTATTCTTATTATAATTGTTTCCAGCAGACACAAAACGTTGAATTGGCTCAACTACAATAGATTTGTTACAGAATACTGGCACATCTCCAGAAAACAAATAAGTTGACTCAACTAAACTTTTTTTTTTTGTATTACAGACAACATATTTTTCAGTTCGTAATGTTATTCATAAAAGTTGAATGAAAAAGAAAAAGCTAGGGGAAATTAGTACTACTATTTGTTTTTGTTATTGCACAAGATTTTTACAGTGTGAATTTTTGTACGGTGTAGATCTGTGCTGACACCTCCACTGCCTCCATCCACACTCGGATCTTCACCTCCACTGCCTCCAACCAGATCTTCACCTCCACTGCCTCCAACCAGATCTTCACCTCCACTGCCTCCAACCAGATCTTCACCTCCACTGCCTCCATCGACACCCCGATCTTCACTTCCACTGCCTCCATCTGCTAGGCCGACACCTCCACCACCTCCGGGTACCCTTAGATGGCCAGTGTTTCAACCCATTACCATGTCACCAGAAACCCCTCAAAGACAAATCAGGGACAACATGTTTGTTCGCATCTTAACACTGCTTGAGGAGATGAAAGAGACACAAAAAATCCAGGGGAGGATACTACAAACGCTGCTACAACAGCGTGGCAACATTAGCACCACCGTCTCTTCTATCCCAGAGGGTTTCCCCCTAAAGACAGTTAGGGATGTGGAAATCGTGGAAGAAAAACTGGCAAACCCGAACTTCATGTCCGAACTGGTATGTTTGTTAAGTCTAGGGTAATTTTATTGGGGGGCTTGCAGTGAATTTGATCTGAAATTATGTTTTATTAACAAAGTTCGGGAGAAGCACGTTCAGATAATTAACACGGGTGGAGAGCACACAGCAATCATGATTAAAACGTGTATATATAGACTCAGCAGTCATTGTATGTAAGTTTGAACTGGTAAAACTTCTCTGTTGTGTACATTCCAGGGTTGGAACAGTATACAAAAATCACGGTTCGGTACAATGGAGGAAAAAGCAAAACAAAAATTTACAAGGCATTGTTTTTTTATTTAGCATAGCTATCTGATTTATCAAAACGATTCCATTTACACCTGGTCACAAAAATGTGTTTTTGGAAAACGGATATAAATCCGATCTTCAATTCCCGCGCTATATGCAGATTTAATGGAGTGCATGTCACAGAAAGCAACAAATATTGCTGCATTTTATTGTTCATCAGCTAATTTCAAAATCAAAGAAGGCAATAAGAGAGCGCAGCAGCAGTCCTGGTAAGATCATTTTGTTTTGTTTTCTTTTAATGAAGATGGATGTGTTAAGCATCTGTGACTTACTTTCACTTTGATTTGCGATAGTTTATGGCGCATTGCTGATGAATAGACGCTCAACTGCACATCTGAGGTGATGCGTGTCGCAGCGTCATCATATCTGAATATATCGTGACATATAGCCTATATAACACGCTCTCACATGGTTTTTTTTTAGCATTTTTGGGAGGAGTAAAATTTACATATGTGGTTTCAACAACCAGATGCACTTAGACTTGTCCAGTTTCATCTGGAATGCGGCCCAGACCACCTCCTGAAGTGATTAGAGTGATCGGATTCAAATCTCGAGTCTCGAATGCGTTTCGGAGGGCATTTACACCTGGTCTTTACACGATCGGATGGCTATCCGATCACAGAAAATGCAAGTGGCCAGGTGTAAACAGCCCCCTAGTTTTGTTTATTTTTATAACGTGTATTCTCTATTTATTCATGCACCGTACCGTTTCGGTTCAGTATGAATGCATGTACTGTTCCACCCCTAGCTCACACCCATGCTTCTGGCAGCTCTTTCATGTTGAGTGGTTTACTCCATTAAGCAATATACTGTAGATAAATTTTCTTTGTATTGCCTTTGTTCCCCCTCAGGTTGCAGCTGTGACTGACATAGGGGGGGCGACTGTTGACGAGGCCACAAAAAGGATGATGACCTTCCTCCTAGACCATGGCCTATCCAGGCAGTATAACTTTGTGGGCCGAAATGGGAAGAGAGAGTTCAAGGCCTTAAAACTGTATGAAGTAATATATGGTAGGTGTGCATGTGGATAATGTGTCAAGTTGTATTGATAATATAGTGTCACAAAACCCTAACATTATAAACATGTCAATTTTTTTAAGTTTGTGAATGGAGCATGTGTTGTCCTGGCTGAGAATTGTGTTCTCACATTTCTCTCAGTTGCTTAGCTTGTGTATTATTAGAAATACACACATTCTCTTGAACAATCTTAGTTTATATAGCTCTTTTCTAAACATAGTTGTCTTTACAGTCCTGGCTAGTTATGTTGCCACATATTAAGTAACTGAGCGTTATATTTGTTTCTTGAAGGAGGCTTAAAGAAAAACGCCATGACCAGCCAAATCACCCGTAAAGATGCAGAGAAGGCGGTCTCCAAGTGGCTCATCGGTGCTAGAGACCGGGGGGGTAATAGACAGGCCCGACAAGCAACCCCTCAACAAAGACTTCAGGCTTGAGAGTGAGGGAACACTGTGCAAAAGCATGTTAATTTTACTTAAATAAAAATGAAATTTTATTACTGGTCTCTTTGTTATTGTAGTTTGTTTAACCCAAGGTGTTCGGGTCTGTGGGACCCGTTTTCAATGTTTGCTAAAAGAAAAAGTAACGCGATTTATTAATTCTTCTAACTCAAACTTATTGGCCATGGCTTATTTTCTGTGAAGAACATAAAAAATAACTTATTTTCAATGACTGCACATGGGACACCCTCCTACACAACTAATACAAATGAGATGTTCAGGTCTACTGAACCCAAGTGTAATATTTGTTGGTGCTATGAAAGTGTGTCCTCCTCATTACTGGGCCTGCTGTGTGTGCAAATGTTCTTTCTGCACCTGCTATTACCACACAAAAAAAGAACTTTCACCTGTTCTGATTAAGTTGTAAGAAATGAGCAACAATAATGATAAAATCTTGTTTTTATTTTTTTTAAATTATTCTTATCTCAGAGGGGTAAATACGAATACGAACCATAAATTATGTATACCATTGGTAAAATTGAGCTCAAGTAAACATCTGTTAAATAGTTTTACATAAATTGTTAAGGCTGTATTGATTTAAGTCTAATAATGTGGTGAGTCCACCAGACCCAATAATATCTAATTTGGGCTGACTGCAACCCAAAAGGGTTGACCCTAACTGTATGGGCTGACTGTAAAATAAGCCCCGAAATGAATTTGATAGCCCATAATAATAGTGGTTATTAATGGTAAGCAGGGACCCATAATCAGCCCACATGGGGCCCAGCTAGTGTGGGCCCCAGATGGGAGAAACCTGGGTTGCCCATGTGGGTTTTAGCTAGGGCCCATGTGAAGCCCACCTTCAGCCCATATGGGCCTGCCCACATGGGGCCACCATGGAACCCCCGGACAAAATTAGCTGGGCCCCATCTGGGCAGCCCAAATGGGGCCCACTCACCAGCCCATATCCAACCCTTATGGGCCCCACATGGGTGTGTTGACAGGGTAGCTTCTTTGCCGATATTAATGAAGGATTGGCCGCAGGGTTTTGAGAGTGGCTGCCCATACTTTCGAACTAATGGGATTAATACTTTTCATTTGGAATACAAAACCCTTGAACATTAGCGGAAATCCATGTTAATTACAAACCTTCATTAACTCCACACAGCTGTCAATGTCAGATAAACGCAGGGCAGCTTCGATCCCACCCCTGCTCCTCTCACAATTGAGCTTCTCTTCATCTAGAGACGTCTTCCTTGGATACAGCTAATGTCAGAAAATCCCTTTGCTAGACTCACCCGTGTCCAGTGCCATTTCGCTCATTTCAACGACCGTCTGACTGAAAATCCATTTGAACTACTGTTATAGTTGAAGAAAATAATGTCTTTATCATCCAACAATGCCATTCTGTCAGAGTATTCCAAACAAGTAATATGATTCTCTCTTAAATCTTCTACTTTAGCTCATCCTTGAATCGTGTACTGTAAACTAGCTCATCCACCATTTCATTACATATATTTTCATAACCTTGGTAGTGTTGTTCTGATTATTTGAAGATAAGATTATTTTCGTATTACTTGCGGAGCTTTCCAAGCCTGAATCACTACTGTTTATTCTTTAAGGACTTGAAGAGTGTAATCTACAAGGATGACAACAAGGGAGAAAATTTGAAGCATTGAAGAGGGAACTCACTCAAACCACTCAGCCAGGCAACTAACTTAAAGGACAAGTTCGATATTTTACAATTAAAGTCCTGTTTTAAGATCGTTTCTGATGAAATAGAATGGTTAAGATTGTTTTTTAGACAGATGCTGCTGTCCCGAGAATTTTCGGTTTCTGTGGTAGCACCCCCACATCTCTACATTGGTAGCGTGGGTGCACAGGAACAAGCTTTCATAAAACGCATAAAACTTTAGTTTACAAAAACTTGAAACTCACCGAGTGGTCTGGGGTGTTCACTGATATGTTCACACAAAAATCGCTGCAAAAGATGCTTTCCAACAGGTGTTTTACCATTCGTTGTAAAACTGTAGACCTATTTTTTCCGAACGCCTCACAACCGTACATTCTTCCGTTGAGAGCTTGAATAATAGACACTCCAGCCCAGTTGGTGGCAATAATGCACCTTTCCGAATTCCAAGCAAACCACTTTTATAGTGTCGCCTATGATACCGTGACCAAGGGGGTAATCCATCGACCGGAAGTTGAAGCCTCGCGGGAGCTGCCATCTTGTAGCAGAACTTCACTTGCGTTAGCATTTCCATTGACTCCCATTCATTTTGGCGTCACTTTGACAGCGAATAACTTTACATCTGAGGCATTTGAAGACCCCATTTGTCCTTTATTTATTTCTAAAGAAACACAACAATGTATAAAATGCTCCATTACCTTGTAGCTTATGTTATGGCCCCGTAGAAGCTGTTTTTGTGAAAGTAAGCTAGCGATTGCGTCATACCCACACGACTCTCTGTCGCTCAGTAGAGAGATTAGCGTATGGACAGGAGGAGAAGCTCGCGGACAATCGGGGAAACGTGAAGGCAAAATGACAAAATAATTAATCAGAATACCTAGCTCCTAGCTCATGGATAGCTTCTACTCACACTCTCTGTCTTTGCGAGTTTCGGAAGGGACTGATTCAGATTTCTCATGCCGAGACAATCAAGACAGACGGGGTGCTCACGTCACATCTACGTCGTCAAGCTCTATTTGAGTCTGCGCGTCAGGGACGGAAGTGCTAAAAAAATCGCCAAAAACGGGCTTCGCTTGTCTCAATGGTGTTCCAATGAGATGGCTCTGCCCACTGTCTATGACCGTGACTGTATAAGACTACAGAAAGAATACAAACAACCCCATTTCCGTTTCCGGCGGCGGAGTAATACCGTACATCGCAGAACATACAATACAAGTCAATGGAGTTGTACAAAAACTATCTAATCTTTTACAGCGATTTTTTTGTGTGAGCATATCAGTGAACACCCCAGACCACTCGTTGAGTTTCACGTCTTTGTAAACTAAAGTTTTATGTGTTTTATAAAGGATTGTTCCTGTGCACCTATGCTACCATTGTAGAGGTGTGGGGGTGCAACCACAGAATCCGAAAATTCTCGGAACAGCAGCATCTGTCTAAAAAACAATCTTAACCATTCTATGTCATCAGAAACGATCTTAAAACAGGGCTTTAATTGTAAAATACCGAACTTGTCCTTTAAAGATAACTTAGTTACTGCATAGCAACATTCGGGAAACATTCTGGAAGAACCATATTAAACTGAAGAAGCATATTATGATAAAGTTATTTGTGTTAAGAATTTAGGGTTCTTTATTCCTGCCCTTTTTTTTTTTTTTTTTAAATGTCGCCATTGGCTTTTGGCTTGCTTAGTTAGGGACATTTAATTTGATATTCAACAGTATTATTGATCTGCCGGCATTAGCACCATTATATAACTGAACTGAGTTTTTTCTCCAGACCGGCTACATATATAAATAAGTTAAAAAAAAACATACATATCAGTAAGTTTTTTTTTTTTTTTTTTTTTTTTGACATTTTATAAGCTGAACTAATAATGCCAAGCCACAAATACTGCTTCACTGCTTATGGTTTTCTAAAATATAATTATACCAAACTGCATAATAAGGTTATCTTTTTATGAGTTCCAACCTCTTGTATTCCCTTCATTTAGTTTCAAGCAGACATTTTTTCACTTCATATCAAAATAACTTCTTATTATACAAGAGGTGTATTCAACTCGTTGTATTAATGAATTGCATTTTTAATGTATTTATGCATAAATGAATAGATTTGCACACAAAAAAAACCATTGGAATAATTACACAGTCTATCTTTCTGTTAAATGGCTTTCATAGAAAACATTGCATCACAAAAAATGCGAGAACTATATCTGCCCTTGCTATGTCACAAAAAAACAGAAAACACAATAAATTGCTCGACTCTGACAAATTTGCCACACGATATATCATATCACGCAAGCTCAAAGTCCATTCATCACCTTGTTACGTGAAGAACGGGGCATTCTTGGACTGTTCACTTCTCACATCTATCTGTAGACTGTGTATAAACAAACATCTATCACACGGCAGACGACATCATTTCAGATGTGATGCGCACCACTTTATGAACGATTCCAAACACACAGCGTCTGCCAAATCACACAGCTGACCTGAAGAACACTTTGTTCTGACACTGCTGTGTCTTTTACTGCGGCATGGGGCCAACAGTATCTGAATGCTGGTTCCACCATTACTTGTGAATTATTGATTTGAGAGAATGGAACTATGGGTTGATAAGCAGTAGGAAGTGAGGAAGGGCGTCAAGGTGAGAGCTGGCTTTGTGCTGCGTGTGGACATTTTTACCGTCGCTCTGAGGTCTGAGCCGAGGACCGTGCGCACGTGCGGTTGTGCCTTATGACTGGTTTGGGGCTGTTGGGCTGGCGAAGCCATTTTGCAGGACAATTTGAAAAGAGCGCAAATCCCAGTGGCTATTTCTCAGAATAAATTGCCTGCTTTCGCAACAGCACCACTGTCAGCAGAAAAGGCCGTAAATAATTTTGCAACGTCCACTTGCAACCGAGCAAGGCCTGTGATAAATATGTGGTGAATTGGGGACTCGAGGTCTCGAATACCTGTTAGTAGAGGTGTGTTAAAATGTATTTGTATGTGTGTAGGGCATCATTTTTATTAGGTTATATATTACTGTTTCTCGTCAAATGCTTTGCAACTTGTAGAGAAAAGGTAGGTCTCTGTGACCTTGTTTTATCTCCCAGTTAATGGATGAACACAAGGCCATCCTTAAAGGAAAATTTGGGCCGGGTTTCAATCTATAGCGCCTTATTAACTCACTGTCATTCATTGTCTGCAACGCATTTCTTCTTCCTCAACATCTTTCTGCCATTTTCTCCTCTGCTAAAGAAAATCCTCATCCGTACTCCTAACAATTGTGACCTTAAGACCTCTTTTAAGGGTTAAGATACTTTCTGAATTACTTTTATTCTTTACTAGGATTTTTTTCTTTAATTTTAAGAGTCAACGCCCACATTTA